GTATATATAAATAATCAGAATATTTGTTTGTATATCCATATAAAAAAATTAAACCAATTTATCGGTAAAAATCATAATATCTAGTGATTACTCTTCGAATTGAACTGAAATCCCACCAATTCAAATAATAAAATAAAAATAGAGTGTAAGAAATATTTCAGACACAAGAAGTTCCTGCTTAAAACTTTTACAGTACTAAAAAAAAGTTGTCATATTTATAGTAAATTTATTGCATTAATGAATAATGTAATAATAATAATTGAATATATTGAATAACTCTATGTTAAAATTAGTAAAGAAAAATAAGAAATATCTTAACAAAATCAACTATAAAATATACAGACAAAATATGCTCATTAAATTCAATGAATTAATTATTAAAATAATTATAATAATTCAACAATTAAATAATAATATATAAATATACGTTTAAATTCTGATCCTGGATAAATTTCACTTATATAATAAATATATATATATATATATACATATATATATACATAATATGTATATATTTTTTTTTTATTGATCCTGAAATTATTAATAATTTCTGATTCAACATCTGAGACCATTAGCATTATATTTGACGTCATATTAGAAAAAATAAAAACATTTATATTTTATCATACGAGTACCTACAATACGAATAATAATGGCATTCAAATAATACATTTATTTTTTCATATAAGTYATTGAATGCTGATTCTTCGATAGTTTTAATACTTCAATTATTGTTAAAAATTAAGAAAAACATATTACATTTTATATATACATGTATAAATTATGCATATTATAATATTTTGAATTCCTGTCGTTACCTGTTTTAGGGGTTAAAATAAATATCATATTTATCAACCATTATAATTATACGGCAAGGTTTTTCATTGTTTGCGATGATAGCTTGAAGTTTTACATGCATTGCGTAAACGTATATTATATGCGTTTGTATATCTAGTATATCTACTATGCATATATATATATATATATAGAATAAAGACTAATCAAGAATTATTGTTCAGTGAATCGTGATTTAGTGTAGAAGTGTAGGTACATTGGGTAGTTAACTAGGTACATAAAATATGTAGTACTATACTAAACTGATACAAATTATACATATTTCATCTTTTTAGTTTAACATAAATAGGTATGTTTTGGGCTSTGTACAACATTTTTTTTACAACCGATTTACGTGAAGCCGATTATTKYAACGTTATTAATTTGTTTRTTTTCATAGAAACGCCAATTCACAACAATAATAATAGAAAAAAAAATGTAATTCTTTACCAAATGTAACATACAATTAACTTCATTTTTTCCACAACAATTTATATCTGAAAACTTGTTTTTTTKAATGATTTTTATAACACAATTTATTATGTACACGTGAATTTGTTTATTTACGCGATACRTTTTGTTATCAGGATATGAACCACATTATACTATGAAGTTTACTTTATACTATAGATTTGATGCAACAATATAGTGTGGACATTTTTAGTAAGCAAATCGAGCATAATTATAATATATTTGATATCGTGGGCAGCGAGTGACTTTTCTATATTCACAATTAATATGAGAGTCAATTCGTTTGTTTCTGGAGACATTGAGTATGCACCATTATTATATAATAATATATTATGTATATTTAAGTAACATATTTGAATTGGCTGGTGGTTATGAATAATTTAAAATTAGTTAAAATAAAATTTTCAAAATTTCATTGAGCATAGTAAATATTAATGTACRCAATAGCGAAGAGTTTCAAGTGCTAATTTTTCTTAATTAGAACACAATTAGAATCGTTATTTTACGTATGAATAATGTTCAAAATTAAACATCAAACATTCGTTAAAWATTAATATGACTTTACTCTAAAATTTATCTTTTTTCATTTTAATCATAATCACTTATGATTCCGCAATCTCGTATTAAATATTCAAGCTTTAAATAT